CTCCTGCCACTACATGCACCCCAGGAGGGCACAGGGGGGCAGGGCATGTACCCCCGGATCGGGGTGGGGTAGGTGGGCTGCAGCTATGGGCTGGAGCCGGGGCTGCACCAGGCTCCTCTCAGCAGGGGCTGGGCTCAGAGTGAGTGCTGGCGGCACTGGGAGGGGGCTGCAGCTGTCATAACCCAATGATTTTTAGTGCCTCGGCACATTGGAATTTTCCCGCCACATGGAACTTTCTTTGCACGCTGGATTTCTCAGCTGCAGAGAGAAAACCCCGGTGCAAAGAGTTCCCACCACACACATGCAAATTCGTACCCCATTATTGGCTGATTCTAAATTATTCCTACGTGACGGCTAGCAATTGGCTCGTTAGCCGTATAAAAGGTTAGAGCAGTTTCCGCCCAAGTTGGAGGACTCCACAACCATCTCGTGGGGAACTCTGAGCGCGCTGTGGAGCCTAGCAAACTCCGCGTGTGTCTTGGAGGAGGACAGAGAGGCCTGATCAGCTCTTAGCCACTCCCCGTCATAGTGTAAATTTGACGTATCCCCCGTGTGAAGCGCTCGTGGAGTCGTATATCGACGACTCATCTCGGTTCGGTGCGGTTCGGAAGAGATCTCATTTGTGTTTGTTTGTGTGCAACTGCAACTCAAGCAAGTTTCCTTCCTGCATGTGACCATCAGCAGTATAAGTAAAGTTTTCTTTATAAAACCAATACGCTTCCGTGCCTAACTCTACTCCGTCGTGGAAAAACCCCACCTGACGGTCCGGGCTACTGGCCATAGCCTCAGACCGACCCTCGGTCCCGACAGCAGCCGCCCCAAATTTCACCACAGCTCCGCTTCCAGAACCGCCACTGCCAGCTGTCTGGCGCAGCCCCAGCTCAACGTACTGTCTCCCCCCAACACGTGCTGGGAAGAGCCTGGGCTGCGCTGGGCAGGCGTGCAGTAGCAGCAATGCTGGGAGCAGGGCTATGGCAAAATTTGGGGTGGCTGTAGCCTGCTTCGACCCCAGCCCCCCACTGAGAAGAGCCCTGTGCAGCCCCGAATCCAGCTTGCACCACCCTGTGCAGATCTGGGCGCACAGGCCCCCCTGCCCACCCAGGGTGTAGAGCCCCCCCCCCCCCCCCCGAGCCGCGGCTCGACTCCACCCTGACTGGGCAGTGCCTACCCCTACCCTTGCCCCCTCTCTCCCTCACTGCAGGGGGCTTTAATCTGCGCCCCCCCCACAATGGACTTACCAGCTGGAGACAGCTGTATTGAAAATCTTTTTTTGACCTTGCTATGCTTCCTCCATAACATAACTCTGATATCATCATCCTCTGAGATTGTCCTCTTCCCACTGACCTCAGCTAATGACCATCATACAGTACACATTCAGGAAACAATGTTTCTTTTCTTGCCATCCCTAATGGATTGACAGTTTCTGGACAGAGCTATTAAGCTATTCTGGCCACCTGCAAGTACTACTGGCTCTGAAGGACACAGATACTGCATCTTCAGGGATAGTGCAACTGTGCAACGAAAAGAAATGAAATGGCCTTGTGCACTTATTCTGTCAACATATAAAAGGTGCTTCTCAGAATCGGCGCACCGAGAGCAAGAATACTGACAAAGGAATGGTTTCTTTGTCTTTTATGTTCCTTGGCAAAAGACATTTTTTTCTAAAACAATGCATTTTTACTGTCAAATAAATAAAACAGTGTTCAGGGTTGAGGTTCCGATTTGCGATTTTTGGTGTTTCAATTGTTCATCGTGACATATTTGTATTGTGGCAGAATCACTTCAACTGTTAGAGCTGTTCGTCAGCCTCAGTAGCAATAGCTAAATCAATGCATTCTTCCTTTTTAAAACCAAGAACTTCAAATAGAACCATGTAATTTTCATCCTTTTTGTTACTGGAATCACTGAGAAAAGCACACGGAGGGAAAGTCTGAATGCTCTCTTCTAGTTTCACCAGAGATCCAGCTTTGTCTGATTGCTCATAGCCCCAGTGGGGACCTCTGAGAATTCTTCGCTGCTGACAGTTTTCCTGGGCAAGAAATTGCCTGTAATTGTACTTAGTATTATTTATGATCACTTGATCCATCTGCTGGTTTGGCTTAAGACCTGCTTTATTGTTTGCAGACAGCCAGCTGTACTTTTCTATGGTGCTCATAAATGGTGGGTAAACAGATGGCATGTTGAAAACATCAAGGCCATATCCACTTTCCTGTGGCAAGGGTAGGTATTCTTCTTTATTCCTGTTATGGTTGAAGCCATTAGTGTACAATCTACGTCTGTTTTGATGCAAGGGATTTTAAGACAAAGCTTGCATGAGACAGTACGTTAAATGTTAATGTTTTGCCACATGGTGCCAGCAGGTTTCGTCTTCATTTCAAACATGCTGGTTGCTTCAGTAATGAGAGATTAATGTCTGTCAAAGTTTGTCAGGACACATGATGAGAAAGGAAGGCTTTCAATTCTGTGAGGAAATGTTCTCAAAATAAATTGGCTAAAGTTCAGATTTGCCATCTATTTACATAAAAGTAACCAGTACTTTTTATTGATATATGTGCACTGTTGACATAACCAGGCTCAGTCTAAGTGGACAGGACCGTAGTACTTTGAACAAATGTTTCACTAACACACCCAAGGGCCTTGTTACACCTTATGCTGTAGGCCACACAAACACTGATCTGTGTTAATGCTAACTTGGAGTTTGGAGCAGTCACACCCTTATTCTAGAAACCTTGGATGGCTGTCCCCCACCTGCACAGACTTGCTACTAGAGGGCTGGTGAACCAGGACACACTTCTTCTATCCCTGCTCTAACAGCAGGGGTGAGAGAGATCTGGGATACTGAGGACTCCACTTTGGGCAGCACATCTGTGGGGAGTGGGTGCACTTTAGTGGAACAGGTGCCAGGTAGTGTGGATCAGAGCTAGTTCTGCCTTGGAGTGATATAATTTTGAGCAGCATAACCAGGGCTTAACGCCACTTTAAGGTGTCACTTCAATGTGACAATCCAGAGATGAAGAGGTCCAGGAGCTGCCCTAAATTACCCTATAACAAGGCCCGAACGCCAGTGTAAAGCAGGAGATCAGTCTATTGAGACGCACAGGATTCCAGATGCAAGACCCCAGACTGTCACACGTTTTCAAACCTGCATAAATAAACCATGGGGCACCACGGGCTTTTCTTTACCTGCAAACAACCTGCATCCTTCACCCAGACTCGCCCTGCAGAACCAGGTCGCCTTCTGGAAATGGAAAGCAGCGGACTTACCAGACTATAAACAAGCGCGGATCAAACCGCGATGCGCCCTGCGCCGAAACCTCCGCGGCGCCACGTCCCCCCCGCCCCCGCCCCCGCCCCGCGGAGCGTGCGCACGCTCGCGCCCGCCACCCTTTGCTCTCAGGGGGCTTTGGTTGGTTGGGGTTTGGCTGCGTTGGTGGTAAAA